AGCAGTACTCATCAACAGATGATGATGATGATGATGATGATGACAGAGCGCAATTAGCTGCCATGAAGAGTTATTTATTTGCCCACATTAATAAAATGTTTTAATGCATTTCACTTTTTGGTACTGAATTTCCATTTATAACTTAACAATTTAAAACATTTAAAAATTGTTAGATCGTTTTAAAAGCAAAAAGTTTTGCTTGGTTCTGGCTTTTGTCAAAATCAAGTTTGTTCGGTAATGGTCAAACTGAACCTGTGTGTGTGTGGTCATCTGGAGTTTGTCTGCTCTACTCTACAAACACGATTGAACAGGACGTTTTAAAACTGACAGCCAACTAAGCACAAACTAAAACTTTACTTTGATCTCAAATTTTGTTTTCCAAAAACCTTACATTATGCCAGGTTGTGTTTGAAAACTCAATGTCGCTTTCAATAAAGCTCCTCATGTTTAACCCGTGAGAAAGTTTTCACCGTGTTAAGTAGCGTTTTGCTCTTTTATTGTGAACTTCTCCTTTGGTAATTAATGATCTGCCGATTAGATGTGATGTGCGCAATTTTTGATCAAGTGAAATTGCTGCTGCTGCTCAATGGGAGACCACAATTGGCAGCATTTAGCGTGGGCAGGAGCCCTGCCTCCTTTTCTCCCAGCAGCAGTTAGCCCAGTGTCAATTGACTGAAAGAAAGAAGGGAAAGGTTGCAGACAAACAGCGAAAAAGAGAGATCATCTCCCCAAAGACCCAGGTCCCAGTGCACTTGGCTGGCCAGGCATCCAGTCCCTGGCGATGCGGCCAAACGCTATCAAGCAAATGCTCAGTTGAAGTGTGTGTGTCTGTGTGCATGTGTTCCCACCAGTGTTCAGTTTTAACTGCATTTTTGCTCATCGCAGTTTTCAAATTTCTTAAAAACAGCTAGGAATTGGCTTACAGAAAAAAACTGTAAAAAATTTTGTTTAATTGATTTACAATCAGAAATTTTATAAAAATTATACGTTGTTTTTTGCAAAACTAATTTTTTGTTTTTAGTTTATATTTGACTTGCGTCTGATTGTTTTTGGCAAAATGTAGCATTTCAAAAATTGTCGTTTTGTGTTTTGCAAACAAAAAATATTTCTTGATTTTTTCAAATTAAAAAAACTGGAACCTTAAAAACTTGTGACACAAACAAGTTGAAAAATGTAATTTATTTTATTTAGCATTAATTTAAAAAACATTTTTTATTATTTATTTTTTTGTTATTAACTGACAAACAACTTTAACAATTAGAAAAATTAAAAATTGTTTTCCTGGTTTGTCCAAAAAATTTTCAGTTGACTGCCTGTTTTTCTTTTGAATGCTGCTACTGTTTCTGCATTTGAAGTTTCTGGACAATTAGGCCGATGAGAATTTTGTTAAACAAAAAGGAAACAGAAAATTGATGAGGCTTCTGTTGTAAATGTAGTTCTGCGTTTAATTGCACTGGACATTATATTTAACTTCTAAGTATAAGATGAAATAAAAAAGTCAAATAGCTAGAATTGTTTTTTTGTAAAAATAAATAAATAATTTATACATCAAAAATAAACTATTGTTTAATTTGTAACTCAAATTAATACCAATTTGTTACTATTTTAGCGTCCCAAACATGTGATTTTTAATTTTTGTTTTAGCGGAAAACCTTTTTCCATTTTATTGGTTTTGTTGATAAGTTAAACTTTATGCTAAAAACAAAAAACAAACGTACATTAGAATAGTTTTAACAAGTTATTTAAGGCAACAATGTAAAATTTTTAATCACAAATTACAAGATATTTTATTTGTTACAAATTTTTGTAACAAGTTTTATTTTAATTACAAACAAAATATCAAAAAATATATTAACTTGTTTTACCCATTGTAAACACTTGTTTGTAAGCACTTATTATTCACTACCTTTTAAACTTTCTACTTTATATTTCAGGCATTTGTGTACAAGTTTTTTACACTTATTTGAAATGTAATGAGTATTGACAAAATATTGACAAAAAGCGGGGACCAAGTCGTCTACCTAAAAAACGAAATCCTTGCATTAAAACTCCTTTTTAATATTGCTTTTTAGTCACACTGATATTATTGTGATCTTTTTTCAATAACAGTTTAACAACAACAAGTTTGACAGCAATAAAAAAGCAAGTATTATTATGTTTTGTTTTTATTGCCAACTGTGCTGCTGTGATGATTTGAGCTGGATGGCGGCAATCTCCGCCAGTGCCTCCTGAATGCGCGCCAGCATCAGCTCGCCCCGGTGAATCGTCTCCTCCAGCTGCTCGGCGGATTCCTGATTCTCCAGTTCAAGCTTCTCAATGGAGGCAGCGGCGCAGAACCGGTCTGCAGAGAAACTTTGTCCAGAGCTTTGCTGTTGAGGAGGAGGAGGAGGTGGTGGTGGTGGGGGCGGTGGCTGCAGTGAACTTTGCTGCTGCTGCTGAGGGGAGTACAGATCGTTTGGCGGAAGGTTGCACAGGTTCGGGACTGATGAGGATGTGGAGGTGGTGGTAGTGGTAGACGATGATGATGATGAGGAGGAGGAGGACGAGGAAGACAAAGAGGAAGAAGAGGTGGAAGGTTGTTGGGAAGACTGTTGTTGTTGTTGCTGCTGCTGCTGCTGCTCAGCAGTGGGCGGAAGAGAGTCAATCAGCATGTCAATGTTCTTCGCCGTCTGAGCGATCGTCCTCGCAAAAAGGGCGCCAAAGTTCTCCTTGCTAGGCTGATGATGATGATGATCACTTTGCTGTTGTCGACCGCCGTTGTTGCTGTTGCTATTGCTGTTCATCTCAGAGCTGCCAGGCTTTAGGGGAGTGGCAAAACTGTCATTGCCATTGCCGTTTTTGCTGCTGCTGCTGCTGCTGGCGCTTTTATCGCCCTCCTTTGGTGCTTCAGAGAACAACAGCGGCGGTGGTGGTGGTGGCGGCAGAATGCCGCCATTGCTTTTGCTGCTGCTCGGGACATGATGATGATGATGATGATTATTTAAGGCGTAGCTGTGAGCGCTTCTTTTTTCACCTCTACTTTCGTGATGTGTTCCCTTTGAACTTTGAGAGTTACCTAGCTGGGTGTTTGCTGAGGACGGGTCATGGGAGATGGTGGTGGTGGTAGTAGTGGCGGTGGATGAAGGTCGAGAAAGAAAGGCGCCGCCCCCGCTTTTCTTCTCCTCAGATTTTGCCGCATTGGCGAGCATCTTATCCAGCTCGGGAAAGGAGGAGTTCTTGGCCACCTGCTGGAGCATGCCAATGGAGTTGGTGAAGTTCTCCGCCTGCAGGTTGACCGCCTCCTGCAGCTGAGTAAGTCGGTCGCTGGCCATGGTGCAAGGCTGCAACAAAAAAAGGTGAACGACAGTGTTGTGCCCTTTTTCATTCAGTGGGAGACAAAACACGACGAGGCAGGCGTAAAAAATTTAGAATTGTGTTGTGTTGAATTGAACTGCAAAACGTCAAATTTTTTATGGACAAGTAAAAATCTGTGAGCCAGTAAAGAAATGAATGTACTGGAGTTTAATTTGGTTAAGTTTAAAGGCTTTTCAGTTTGTTTCAAGTTGAAGTTGACGTTGAAAGTTAAAATTTCAGTGATCATTTTGAATATGCGTTTTTGTAAATTATTGTTTTCATAGTTTAAATGCAGTGTTATTGATTTATTGAATTTGTTTTGTTTTTAACAACATTTTGACAGCAAAATATTCTTGTGAAAATTTTGATATTGATTATAGTTTCAAATATAAAGGTAGCTAGTGTTAATATTTTGAGTTGAAAAAGTAAAAAAGTTATTAGATTTTTGTTAACTTAAATACATTTTATGCGTTTACTTACATACAAAAAGTTTCTAGTAAAAATAAAAATAAAAAAGTTAATACATTGTGGATACAAAGTAAACAAAAAGATTAATTAATTTTACCTTTTTCAGTTAAATTGAATCAAATTGAAATTATATAAAAAAATATTAAAAATTAATTTGTTTTAAAGTGCAATAAACACAAATAAAAACCTTCGCCTGTTTACAAACAAAAACTGAAGATGAAACAGCTGATGAAATACACAAAAACTAAAGCAAACTTTAAAAAATGTGCATCAGCAAATTAGCAATCAACAAAATGTCTGTGTGTTTTATTGCGACCTAGGTGCAGATCAGCAGCGCAAACAGCGCAACATCAACAACAACACACACATACACACACACACACACACAGTGTGCACCAGCAAAAATAAAACTCAACGGTGAACAGTGCTGCTGCTGCTGCTGCTGCCACTGCCACCGTCAACGAAGTGCGCTGGGGCAACAATCGGGGAAGGGGAAAGAAAGCGAGGGAGAGGGAGAGGGAGAGGGAAAGAGGGAGATTGGGGCACTGCAGTCCATGCCCCGGCTGGTGGTGACGATTGACTTTATCGCTGGCTGCAGCAGTGTGTGTGTGCCTGGCAACACTCGGTGGTCGGCACTGCACACATTATCAGACTTGGCAGGACACATCACCGCCGCCGCCACCACCGCCGCCGCTACTGATGACCTCGATTGGTACGTGCTGCTTTTGCTTGACTGGCAACAGCAGCAGCAGCAGCAGCAGAAAACGGCGGCAACACCGCCGAGCGACAGCAGCAGTGGCAGGGCAGCAGTGGAAAAACCGCTTTTTCATTTTTTTTGCAAAGTTTTTTCTCCCTTAGATTGCGCTTAAGTAAGTGTTTGTCAACGTATAGTTTGTTTGACAAACTTTTGACTGCCTTAAAATGCTAGTTATGTTTAAATGTATTTTTAAAAAAATGTTTAGTTTTTTAAAAATTCAGCTGAGAACAAGGTAAAGAGAGAAAGAAGTAGTAAAGAGTAGTGGTAGTGTAAAGACGTATTAAAAAATGGGTAAATTGGCGAGCATCACTTGGAGAGTTGGTCAGTGGGAACTCTTTTACTGCCCAAAAGTGGAGGACGTTTGTGCAGGACATTTATCAGCCCAAAGGCATCATTCAGCTCAGAGCGCCTC